AAAAAAAAAAAAAACTGCTTAAAATTATATATATATATATATATATAATGGATTTGTTGATTTTTAATAGTGTATGTTGAGTTGTAAAAAAGTAATGTATGTAGATAATACCAATAATGGTTGATATTAGGAACAAATAGAAACAACTATTTTTTTTTTAAATTTTATTATTAAATAATTTTTTTTTCTCATTATGAACTAATCCAAATACACTCTGAGATGAATTAAAGAGAGAAGAAAAAAAAGTAACTTATGGTAAAAACTAGTGGATGAAAACTCACAGTCCAATAGGCAGGTGATTTAAATTTTTATCAAAGGCAAATGCATTATTTTCCTTTGAAGGGTTATTGGTCTATCGAGTAAGTGAAAAATAATCAGAACATTCATGATGCTATAGATGACATGTTAGGAGAGAGAGCATGACAAGCAAATCCACTTCCAACTACTCTTCATTTCTATTTCCAACCACTTTTAACTTTTGCTGGATCTGCATCTCCTTAACATAAAATAGAAACTTCTCAAACAAATTCCAACTAAGAGATAGATTAAAGAATGCACAAATGGGGTGTGAAAAAAAAAAACCCAATTATTCTATAGACTATTAAAACCAAGATAAAAGACAAGGAATATACACGGACCAGCTTACAAATATTGCAATGGAATATGATATGCTAACCAAATAAACCTACTATGATTTGGAGTTTTAGTAAAAATCATGTTTTTTTTTATTACCATCAATTTTATTTTTTATTACAATCAATTTTATTTAAGTTAAGTGAGATTATTATTATGAACGATAAAAATCTTTTTTATTTTTAATATTTAACACAATTACATATATTAAAATTCAAATTTGATATCATTAGTTAAAATTAATGAAATAACTTATAATACTAGTTAATTTACATACTTGTTGGTATCATGATTTGAGTTTGATGGTTGGTATAATCATCATCAACTAATTACAATTTATTATTAATATAATTTTAGTTATTTATTATATAAAAAAATTTGTCCTTTTATGTTTATTCATAGATGACAATGTAATATATAACTTATTTTCTCTTGTGGTTTTTTCAAAGAAAAAAAAAAGCTTATAGAAAAAAATTGAATGGTAAAAAGGAGAAGGGAGGGGCAGACAGAAATTCTAGCTAATTAAGTATTGGAATGGCAAGCATCAAATGATGATGAAATATGGAAACAACCGTAAATTAGTGGTAATTTTGTTCAAATTCTCAATGAAAGTGAACTATGGAACTACCTAGTCACTAAACAACGAATCTATTGAATGAGAAGCTTCAACTTAAGTATCATGATGTCTCAACTT